GGTACACACGGGACACAAAGAGATGTAAAGGACATTGGAAACTACAAATGAGGGAGGTTGGGGGGTAAGGGATTAAAAACTTACCTATTGGTTACAATGAACACTGTCCAGGCGATGAGCACACTGAAAGCCCTGACTTGAGCATTATACAGTGTATCTGTGTAACAAAAACACATGTACTCCCATAATATTTTGAAATAAAAAATAATAAAGCAGAATTTTTTTAAATTTTAAATTAATTCATTTTTATTATTAATTTTAACAATGTGGGATTTGGTTTCTGCTCCAACACCAATTTGAAAGTGTCTTTTTCTGCCAAAAATATAGTTAACAAACACTCTTTGTCACTATAATTTAGACAGAACCCAGAGAAAGTTGAGCAAATCCCAAGGAATCCAGCTACAGAGGGAAAACATGATTTAGCATAGTTCAGGGTATTTTAGATGAAGAAAATAATGTCCTCCACAGTATATTTGATAAAAAGTATGTGCTCAAAGTAATCTTTGAACAGCAGCAAAACAGTCACTGAACATATACTGTAAAGACTATGGGCTCCAAGACCAGCCACTACTGCCTGGGGCAGGAGCTCTGTGAGGGACACAGAAGAGAATGAACATAACCCACACACCTTCTGTATCTTTATAACTTCCCATTTCATGGTCAAAAACAAAAGCATGTTGGCAATAACTACTGGGGAAAGGTAACTCAACTCCGTGGGATTCCCCCACTCTGAAAACTTTTGTCAAGAGTTTGATGCCCAGAGAGACTTGGTAGTGTCTCCTTTATAACCAAGCAACTTGCCAAATATATGCAATTAAAGTTTGAGGAAATACATAAGGCATTATTAAGTCACTCATTTCTTATATGTAAAAACTTCTGCTTTTTCTTATTGTTGGTTTATTTTAGAGACTTCATGGGAATGGGAAGAAATTGAGCTGAGTGTGTTCACATAGCGTAAGACACTATTTAAAGAGAGAGGAGAGGCAAACATGAAACTGAAATTTTCATAACAAAGAAAAAGATAAAAGAAAATAGTTACCCTTTGTTTAGTCTCTGTTAGAGAACAAATACTCATAATTAAACTGTAACTGGAATCAAAATGTAGTTTGGGATAAACAACCTAAATGGCCTCCAAGATAAATTACAGTACTCATTTCCCTATTGTTGGTTTATTCTCTCCAGTTTCACCAGGATGCAGGACTGTGGGGATTCTATACTTGCATGTCACCACTAAGCAGGTTCTCTCATGCCAACAAGCTTAGCAACTTGTTTGAGTCTGGCCACTTGCTCACCATCTGGAACTACTTCATAGTCTCATTACCAAAAAGAAAAAAAGAAAGAGAGAAAACAAAAAGGAAAAAGAAAAAAAAAAAGGATGAGCAATGCTGCTATGTTGCCTTTATGTGTAGAGTTTGCAGGGTGTGGAGGTACACTACCAGCCACAATTTATCTGACATTGGGTTCAATCACAGAATTACTCCCTAGAAATACGTGACTTGTGAATCTAATGTCATTACTCTAGATGTCCAAGAGAAAAATGTAGTTTTAATTTTTAAACATTGAATTTTCAGTCTTTTGTGGGCATTAACCTATATTCCTCAATTTGCTTTGATCCTTCTGGAGACAAGTTCAATTTGTGAGTAAATTTGTCCAAGGAAATTTGTTTCTAGAGAAGAAACAGCTTACATGGTATGTGCTTTGACTTGTGTCTTGCCACGGGTTGGGATGGAGCATGTGGGATGAGGGCAGGGTGGGGGAGGGATGAGGAAGGGTCAACAATGTGTCCCTATCGAGACTAAGCTCCATTTTTAATCAGGGGTATCCCTTGCACCCAAATGTGTGTCCATGCCCCAGTAGAAATACTAGCTAGCCATTTCTTAGGACAAACCAAAATGAAGAAACTAATAAAAAAAAGACTCTTAAAGACCCATCGGTTTAAAATTTGTGGGAAAACCTATCTATCCATGATTTTATGAAATTCAAAAGTTTTAGTACACATCCAACATTCTGAGCTATAACTAACATTGAATAACTTAAGAATAATTTAATACAGAAAGAAAAAAAAAAAAACCTTACAGATGATACAGTGCTTGTAGTGTGAAGAAACTTCCAAGTATTATATTTGAAAATTATTGACCTTAACTCTTCTGACAGATTTTATGATTGTTTCATTTTCCTACAGTTTCACAGAAAAGAAGAGAACTTCTTTCTTGTTGACCTCCCTAGAGTAGGGGTCAGTAATTAAGGCACACGTGCCAAACAAGGCTCAGGGACTTATTTTCATTGGCATGCACGCTAGTAGCCTTCTTGTCAAAGAATAATCACCAGCTGCATTTTGCAACATGTGAGAATGTGTGGGCGGAATAACCACTTCCCCACTTATCTTCTGCTAGTCTCAATATCACTATGCCCCACCTGGCCCACCAGACGAACAGGTGCTACCAGCTAGGCTAACTACGTGTTTAGAGGATGTCAACCCCAGCTGCGTCCATAGTCCAGTGTTTGGTCCATGGGAGGACATATGGGAGGAGATTACAAAGTAAGAAAAATGAAATCAGTATTTACCTGTGAAACAGTGTTTTTATTCTTCAAAGAGGTTAACAAACTTTTCTATAATGACAGAGTCATAACTGGGTTTGGATGGTTTGAACCTATGTCTTCTAACTCCAAAGTCTATTATAATTTCACTAGATCTGGTTCCATATCTTCCTGCAAAAAACAATTATTATTCTTTAGAATAAGTCTTTTAAACTGTTATCCTCAGAAAGCACTGCTCCAAAGGTTGATAATTTGTTAGGAAGAAAGGATTCTGTGATAAACTGTTTAGAGATCTGTGAGTTAAAAATCACCCTCTCTCCACGTAGGACTTCTTGGAGCCTTTAATAGATTAAAGTGCATTGTGAATTTTCTAGCCCAGGGACATGATGAGTAAGCTTGTAAATCTACATTCTCACATGGCGCATCTCTTAATACCTTTCTGAATCTCTGTTCTTCTGAACAGCATGGGCAGATGCTTTGAAATATCTAGGAAGTCCATGATGCTTATCAAGGGCAGAGAATAGCTTCATACATTTTGACAATAATTATAAATGATCTTAAAATAATCAGTTATAAAATAAAAAAATAGAATAAAGAAGGATTGTTTTATGCAATAGAAAGCTTATTAATTGATTTTGAGCTGACCTATTTGTTTGCTATTTGGATGTGACATCTTTAGATTATTTTCTTGACAAAATTTTAATTGGCAAAGTGTTCTCATGGCAACAAAACCCATCACAATGCCAAACAAAGAATGAATGTTTAAGGACTAAAGAAAGCTTTCTGTGAATACTGTTCTACTCTCTGAAAACTGTGAATTTGTCATTAAAGACAGTTCTTAATGCTGATTATGGGCTATGCATAATTGTAGATGTAGAGAAGAACCTAGCTTGGCCTTCCGGGGTCTCACTCCCTGACCGAAAGGCGAAACAGGCTTACCACCACAATTGTAACAAGCTCCTTTGGAAGGTATCAGACTGTGCGCCCAAACTAGCTAATGTCAGCTGCCTGCATTACATAGCCAACTGAGATGTAACACATTTATTCCAGTCTGCTGAGGGTTCAGTAAAATTCAAAATTTGCCATGGGTTTTGTGTGTTTGAGGGCAAAAGTGTTCCTCACTTCCAGTGTTCTTGGTCATTAACTATCTTTGTTCAAATTTCAGTCAGCTACCTTTTGGTTTTTAGCCTTTTTATACCCCACCCCTGAAAGGTACAATTGCTCCTTTATCTGTCCCTGGGACCTAGGTGTGGATGAGATGTGCATTTTATACTTGGTGGCTCACTGTGGACTGTCCCTGGCAATCTTCACTCCTGAATACTGAGTCCCACTGCTGTTTTCTTACATCCTACTCCTTCCTCTGCTCCATCATGAATTCTATCTTTTAGACTACCAATGCCTCCTTACTTGCTAATAATATCAAATACCCCTGATTCTTCTACTATATCTTTTCTTACATGTCCACAGGATGCTGTATTTATGACAGGGTAATCTGTACCAACACCCAGCTTATAGTCACAAACCTATACACAGGAAACAAAGAGAATATTGAGAAGAAAGCTTAAGAAGAAAACTTTAACTCTGTCTAGAGGTCAAGAAAATGTCAATGAGATCTCTTAAGCAATCTTGGAAAATGAATGAGAATTCTGCAAGAAGACATTGAACATGGTGGTTGGCAGGAGGGAGGACTTTCTAGATTAAAGGAATACCTCATGCAAAGGCACACAGTTGGAGTGATGAACAGTAAAGGATTTTATATGGCTAGGGCAGAGGTTGTTAAGGTAGAGATGTGGTTGAACGTGCCAAAAAGTGTACATAAATATATGGACATTAAATATAAAAAATAATTTATGTAGGAGTAACAAATCAGATATAAATCTTAGTAATTCTACTCTGACAATAACTGAGATGGTACAAATTGGGGGTAAGTGTGCTCCTATTTGAGAAATTATGTGAGTCTGAACTTGGCACTTGAATCAAGACTGTACCATAAACATATTAAAATGTGAACATTAGAAAGCAGGAATTTTTTTTCTGATTTCTTCACATTTCTAACTTCAGTATCTAGAAGATTACTTGACACGTAAATTGAATGATTGGATAGACAAGAGAGTACTCATTATTTAGCCATCCATCCATCCATCCATCCATCCACTCATCCATCCATCTATCCATACATTCATCAATCTATCAAACACTGAACATCTGCATTGTACTAGTCATATCCTGGGCCTTGAAAGAATGTATGAAGTGGGAATAAAAGAGGGCCAAAGACAAAAATTTAAACACATGAATATTTAACAGTGGTGTGAAGAAAAGGATCATTGAAAGAGACTGTAAAAAAGCATAAAGGGAGGGGGTGAAATTGACCTTTTGTCACTGTGAGTGCTAAAGGAACACAACACAAGGTTTCATGATTTCAGTATTTCAGTTAATGACACTAACTGGTCATTCATTGTCCATTGGCTTTCCATACTTTTTATTGAGACATAATTTACAAATAATAAAAAGCACAGATCTTAAGAGTATATATAGTTCAATGAGATTTGGTAAGTACATCCAACTGTGTGACTCACACACTATTGAAATATGTAATATTTCTGTCTTCCCCCAAAGTTCCTCATGTCCCTTCCTAAGCCTTTTCTCATACAGAGGTGGCCACTGCTCAGATTTTTTTTCACTATAGATTACTGTTGCCATTTCTTGTCTTCTATGCTAGCACATGCATATTGGACTACTTGTTACCCTGCCCCAACTCACTGAATTTCAGTAGTTTTCTCTCTGGGTTCAATTTAGATAGTTTTAATTAACCAATATTATAAAATGTCCAATCTGCTGTTAAGTCCATGGGTTTGGGCTATTTATTTCAATTATATTATTTTTCAGTTTTAAGATTTCCATTTTTTCTTTTCCTAGTATTTAGCTGTTGAGATTTCTCCTCTTTTCACATACTACCTTTTTATTTAAATCCTTGAACATATTTATAATAATTGAAGTCATTGTGTTCTATTCTAATTCTCCTGGTTATGAGTCATATTTTAAAATTATTTTTGTATATCTAAATTTTTATTGAATTTGTAATATTTTGGAAATTACACTGTTTACAATGTAAATGCTGTCTTCTTTAAAAAATGCTGAGATTTGTTCTAACAAGCAGTTAATTTGCTGGCAGCTCAGCTTGATCCTGTGGAGGCTTAGTTTTAGGCTTTGTTAGATTGTTCCTGAGCCTTTACTTTAGGGATAGACTTGCCCTACTCTTAAGATATAGCCTTTCTGTGGTCTGAACTGAATGACTAGGTTTTTCAGTGAGCAGTCTGTACTCTGGATGGTTGGAATTTCAATGTTTTTAATCATTGAGTACCCTCTGCAATCTCTCTGCAATCTCCATTCATCCCTGTCCCTCAGTAACTGTTTTCCAGGCTTCCTGGAGTTTCACCCTGTGTAAGCACAGCTTCTTATTTGGCCAATGACTGAAGGGGATCATGATGCAGATGTCTGCAGCTCCTTCTCTATGCTGTTCCTGCTTCTGGTACCCTGCTCTACAAATTCTGGCCACCTCAGTATCTTCAAGCCACCATCTCTCTTTCCTTTCCATGGAAATATCAGAAATCTCTGTTTGGACCCCAGTTTCCTATGCTGGAACCTGAAAAATGTCCCCAGGTCAAATTCTAGAGTGAACATAAAGCTAATTTTGTGTTTTCCCTTTTTTAAGGATCAAATTCCCAGTATTGCCTATTGTACAATATCTCAAACAAGTTGTTTTTTACTTTTTGCCTAGATTCACAAATGTTTATGGTGAGAAGATTATTTTAATACCCAAATAATCTGACATAGCCAAGATTAGAAATTCTGTCTATGGGTTTTTGCAATTGGAATGTTTTCGGTGACCAGAATATTATAGTTTTAGCATCATAGAAGGGCAAAAGCTATATTTTCCCTTATCCCAAGCCTCCATAGCCTCTGAGGACCTTATGGGGATTTATTGTATTTAAATTTTATAAAACACAGTACTTATTCATTAGCATTAGCATTGTTTTTTACATAGCTATTGATGCTATTTGCATTAATTAATATATGGTCACCCATATTACCACATATTTCTCTAAGTCACAACGTTCCATTAATCATAAGGCATTTTTGGTTACCTAGAACAAAGGTGGAAAAGAAACAAATAAATAAATATGTTGATGATGGATGGAGTCAGTCAAAGCTAAATCTGAAATTTGGGTCATATTCATGACCATCAAATCATTGGTTCCATTGTTTTTCACTTGCAAATTGTTTGGGGGTTTTCATGTGGACGATCTGTATTCACCACTTGTTTTGGAGTCACACACACATAGCTTTAAGTTATGCATAACAGTGCACTCTGCCAAATGACTACACAGCTGGGGAGTTCACTGGGGCTAGCAGCTGAGTGAGGATCCTCAAAAGATGGGTGGGTATTGAAGGAGTTCCGTCTTGCTTTTGTACCCAGAAGGCTTTACTATTAGCATCCTGCAAACACAAAGAAGAGATTAGAGTTTATTGTTCATTTTCCCCCCATGGGGAAGCCATGTATGTTTATGCCCTAAAGATTGCACATTTGAAAGAAAAAGCCACTTTCACTGTGGAATTAACCAAATTGACTATCTTCCCAGTTTGAATTCACCGGATAACTGCTAATCCCCACTTCATATTGTGCTCTAAAGACTCAGCCAAAGGATTCTGAAGGCCTGAATTTCCAGGTTTTCTCATCTGTAATACAAACACCAGTTAAAGACATAATATCATTTTATGCTACTCTCAAAGGGCATCTAGCAAAGCTGGCTAGCATTGCTGCAACATTTTAATTACTGGTGCTTACCACAATTTGCAATAATTACAGTTCATTTAGTAAGCTGGTTCTTAATTGCAGACACTGCTAAAGTAACAATTGAATAAAAAATAAAGTGCACTTTCATATATATATATATATATGTAATATGACTGAGAAAGATGTGAGCTTATAAAGAAATAAAAGAAGCTAGCATATTCCAGTAGACCAATTTCTAAAACAGAGATATTAGGAAAGTTTTCTAAACCAAAAGCTTAGAAATAAATTTAATTATCAGGACAAGTCACTCTATCATTTTGGTATTTTTTTTTAGCATAATTCCTAATTCTGTTGCTTATTTATGGTGAAGAAAGGTTAGTGAGTGAAATCTAGTACTGATATAAGAAAACTCTAAAATAACTTCTATTCATTATAAGATGATAAATATCAAAGATAGAGATAATTCCTATATAAAAAGGATTTTGATCTTAAGAAAGCAGTTCTGGAAAACTGTTCTTGTTTATTTTTTACCTCACTGAACGCCAAATACTCATGAGATTTTATCCTATATAAATGTAGGTGATCTGGTGGATAAGAATGTTTGGAGGCTGAAGAAGTGAAGGAGATGCTAAGTAAAGCTAAACTGAAGTGAAGAGAATGGTCAATTAGGGGGTATCCTCTGGATAAGAAAGCATATTAGGTTCTAATTTGCTGATATGGGCTTCAAGAAGGTAGTTCTCTTTCAAAAACTTGTTCCTCCCCTAACAAGAATTATATTAGAATTATTTTTTGGATCTTTAGCAAATTACCTAATCTTTAACTTCCAGTATTCTTGAAGAGAATATTTTAAGTCAAAGCAACAAAACAAACAAAATAGCCACCCACATGCCCCACCGCCAATAAAAGGACATCAATCTTCTGAGTAGGTGGTGTTGATTATAGCTGGCAGTAATTTAAAAAATGATGCATCTCTCAAAACAAAAGACAAATTTATTCAGATTAAAGCAACATTGTGGTCTTTATAAGAAAGAATGACATGTTGGCCCTCAGAAAGAAAATAGTGTTCTGTTTACAGTTTGAATGTCTTGCCACTTCATGGAGTTGTATAAAGGAAGGAGATTGGCCCAGTGATAAGGAGTAAGGCCACGGAGGAGTCTTAATTACCCTTTACAGCTGTGTGATCACAGGTAATTTAACTAATTTGTGCTTAATATTTCTATTTGTTAAAATGAAATGTTATTAATAATGCTTACCTCATAGTTGTTTTTTGTTTTTCTTTTTTTTTTGGTGAGGATTAAATGTATTTATATGTACAAAGAAGTTAAAACAGTGCTGTTCACAGTAAATATATGATAAGTCCAAAGGCAAGAAGCAGTGATAGAAAACAAAAATAAGGATTGAATAATTGGGGGCAATAATACAGTCTGTCTCAGTTTTCACATACCCTGTCCATTCCTTGGAGTTGATAAAGAGCCAAAGTTTTCTGAACTTAATGAATTCAGATATTTACTTCTCCACAAAGCCTTTCTTAATTTCTCCAGTCAGCAGCTCATGGATCACTTCATTTGCATTCTTACAGCAGCTTACACATCCTCTCTGATGATACATATAGCTTTGTACTACACTTAGATGCAAGATTTTGCTGGTATTGTTTAACATACATAACTCGGGGGCAGGAAAGCCCGAATTTGCCATGTTCTCCAGTATCCATGGTATAAATACTCTAGCATGGCTGATTGTAAGCAACTAGTGTGATGTCACAAAACATGGAATTGGGAAGAAAGTATAGCATCACATCACATAGGTTTTCCGGCATATAGAAATAACAGATGCAAATAAACTCAAAAGCATAGATAATAACAAAATAACAATAGTAAATAGTGATGAAGTGATGTGCAAAATACGTAATGTGTAAAATAATGGGTAAAATAATGATAAAGTGATGAATTTTGAATATTCATTACCTGTATTTTTAATTTAATTTATTTAATTATAAGTTTATATTATTTATTTTTAAAATTATGTCAGTGTTTAACAGCTCGTTTGAAAAATTCCTGGAATTTTAGTAGCAGTTTCCCATGAACAAATATAGAGAATGGTTCTAACTTAATGCTGAAAATTTTATGTCAGTGTATATCTTTTGGCCAAAGATTGAGTGCCTCTTAAAGATAGGGACTGTGTATTAATCATCTATTGATTCACAGTGCCTACTACTGGCATTTGGTAGGGTCAATTAATGTCAGTTGAATAAATAAGTAAAGAAAAAGTGAATAAATAGGCATTGTAGAGTATACTATTAATGGATACAAACAAACTTCACTGGACTGGTTTCCCCTTTAATTAAGGGAATTCTGGAAACTTCAGACTTCATATATACCTTACTCTATATGGATGAGGGAAATTTAAAAAATGTGTAATAAAGAAAAACATTTGCACCCCCATAATATTTTGAAATAACAAAAATCTTCATTAGAGAAAGGTGAATGAACCAGTTTTATCTGGGCTAAATAAATTTATTTTAACATTTTAAGAAAACATAATAAAAATGTCACCTATTGCAAGGTAGGTGACTCATGGAGATATTCCTCCCAAGATGGGAGGATGTCCTTGACACTTAAAGATTTATTTTCTTTGTTTGGGAAAGATACTGAGCTCTATTGGATAACTGTTTTAGTGATAATGACTATTTATTGAGTACAATGTTCCAGACATTTTCTTCTCCTTTTATTTTATCCTCATAGCAACACTGTGAAGTAAATTACATTATTATCCTTATTTTAAGGATGAATACACCAGGACTTAGAGAAACTAAGACACTTGCCCAAGATTTCAAAAGCAGAATGAATTAGAGCCAAAATTTTATTCTGAACCATCTGATTCTAGAGTCTTTTGATTCCTAAGGAGCAGAGTTTGGGAAAAGTTTTACCTTCTCATTTTACAGTGAAAAACATTTGCTGCTTTAACAAACTCCTTAGTTACAGACACTCAAATTTTATTTCTAAAGCATGCAAAGGCTTTTGTTTTAACATACTGTGGTATTCTCCCTTGGGGAAGAACTTTGCTTTAATGATGCTAGACTTACCCATAATACCAGGTTATTGAATATTACTATGGTTCTTCAAATCATCAACTACTTTCTATTTGTTGATTTTCTGATATTATGAACCTTTTCCATTCAACAAAGCAAAAAAGTAGTTCTGATTTAAAACACACTGATAAGAAATCTATGTTGCTTTCATCAAGGATTTTGCTTATTTTGTCTGGTTTGTAAAGGCTTGGTTAATAAAGACTGCTCACATCTTGAATTTGTTAATATTTCTCACAAAAATAGTAAATAAAGCAATTAATAATATTCAAAATAGTTCAGGAAAATAATCTTTAGTAATATGGCAAAAGATGACTCAGCTACCCACTCCTTAAGAAGAAAGAAGCTGAATTGTATAATTGAATACCAAAATAGAGCCATGGATCAGGGAGGTAAAATACAGATACTTTTCAATAATTTGATGAAAAAAGTAGGCCTAACACAGAGTTTTGAAGAAATAGCTTATCAAACTGTCAAAATAATAATTTTTCCTTGGTATTATAAACATGACTACTTGCTGAGTTAAGCACACAAGGCTAAAATTAGTAAGATAACAAATATGGTTGGATCTTTCCAAGTAAATCAATTGTCATATTAACAATGGGAAATCTATTTTACATTAGTGTCTATATTGTCACACAACTGGTTTTGCCCTGATATCATGTAAAATAGTATTATACCTTGTAGTGCCTAGTAAATTGCCTTGCTTAAAGTAGCTATTCTATAAATATTTCTTGAATTAAATGACTAAATTGGAACTGGGTATAATTTATATTTTTATAAATATATTTATAGTAAAGAATCTTATATTAAGGATCTTATATATTAAAATGAAGAACAGACTTATGACAGCTTAAATAAAATTTCAATATGGCATGTTTTATTATTACATACTTCCATATATAGCAGGTCATAAAGTTTGTTTCAAAACTTAACCATGGCTTCATTTTGGATAAGACACAGTAAGCACACTTTATCCTTTCTCTGTCACTGAATGCAGCTATATACTTTGGAGAGAATGCATTGAGTAGCTAACTGAGGAGTATGAAGAATAAATAGTTGGCCAATTGAAGAAGACCAGAATTTGAAGTCAACCAAACTGGCAATGAGTTTACCATCCTTTTATTTTTTTTCCTCCTCAGATGCCACTCATCCTGAAACTTGGGAGCAGGCATCTACATGGATGGAGAGAGTTCTAAAAGAAACTCTCTAATTCAGACTTGAGGGGTCGAAAGGGTGTGTCCTATTCGTAGCAATGTCACATCAAGGGACCCACAATTTTACAGATCTAAGGGACCATAAACTTCCTTTCCAGTCATAGGAGCTGTGATCTCAGGAGGAATGGGAAAACCCATGTTCCTTTTTTCTGTCTGTCTTGTTGCTTGGTCCTGGATGGGGCTTCAGTAACATCAAGTGCACAATAGAACAGGATTAATGAAATCCCCAGCTTTTTGGACAGAAATTACTGGAGATATCAATAGAGAGATAAAAATTTGAGAAGACAATACACAAAGTTGTTTATAAACTCTTGAACTTACCCTTGAACTTTGTATACATGAACTGATCCTAAATATTACACTAAGAATTCTAAAAACTGAAGTAAGACATAGGCCACCACCAAAATCTCAGAATGGCCACGGAGTGTAGCAAATGCAGTACATATATAAATAGTGTTTCAAAGACTTTGAAAATGGAGCTGACACTAAAACCACAACCCTCAAAAGGCTAGTCAGAATTTAGGGCCTGAATCCAACTGAGTTGATTGCCTGTTAAACAAAATATAAACATTCTTCTTAGGATTTAACCAAGACCCAGACAATCATAACATAATATCAAAATGTCCAGAATGCAATTCAAAATTTCTCAGCATAATAAGAACCAGGAAAATATCTAATGTCATGAAAGAATAAAATAAGCATATACCAATACCCAGATGACATAAAAGTCATGAATTATTTGACAAGAACTTTAAAGCAGCTATTATAAAAATGATACAAGATCTAAGGACAAATACTCTTTTTTAAAATGAATAGAAATATAGAAATTATCAGCAAAGTAAGAGATTATAAAAACCAATAAAATATATTTTAGAAGTAAAAAATTAAAATAATGGAGATAAAAGACCATCATTATTATTAAGTGGGGGAATAGCAGAATAGAGATGACAAAGAAAAGGATCACTAAACTTGAAGATAGGTCATTAGAAATTATCCATTCTAAGTAATAAAGATAAAATTGATTGGAAAACATATCAGCATAATGCCAGGGACCTATGGGACAATACCAAAAGTTTTAACATTTGTCATTGGAGCCTTGGAAGGAGAAGAAAAAGAGTGTAGTGAGGAAAAATATTTGTAAAAATTATGGCTAACAGCATCTCAAGTTTGGTGAAAGATAGAAGCCTATATCTTTAATAAATTCAGTAACCCCAACAAGATAAATGTAAAGAAATCTAAGTCTAGATACATCATAAAGAAATTGCTGAAAATAAACACTAGAAAAATTTCTTAAAATTAAGAGTAAAATTATGTACTACTTACAGGAGAAGAACAATGATTTGTGAATATCCCACCTGAAACCATGGTGGTAATGACATTTTTAAAGTGCTAAAAAGAAAAAAAAAGCTCTATCTAGAACTCTAGAACTCTGCCCAGTGAAAATTCCCTACAAGAATGAAGGAGAATTTTTTTCTTGCTTTTTTATTTTTTTTTATTTTTGCATGCTATATATCTAATAAAGGGCTGACAACTAGAATCTATATAGAACTCAGGAAAATCCACACAAAAAAGACATCTGGGATGGGCACGGTGGCTCATGCCTGCAATCCTAGCACTCTGGGAGGCTGAGGCGGGTGGATTGCTTGAGGTCAGGAGTTCAAAACCAGCCTGAGCAAGAGCGAGACCCCGTCTTTACTATAAATAGAAACAAATTAATTGGCCAACTAACATATATAGAAAAAATTAGCTGGGCATGGTGGCTCATGCCTGTAGTCCCAGCTACTCGGGAGGCTGAGGCAGTAGGATCGCTTGAGCCCAGGAGTCTGAGGTTGCTGTGAGCTAGGCTGATGCCACGGCACTCACTCTAGCCTGGGCAACAAAGCGAGACTCTGTCTCAAAAAAAAAAAAAAGATATCTGCACTTGAATGTTTATAGCAGCACAATTCACAATTGTAAAGACATGGAAACAACCCCAAGTACTCATCAATACATGAATGGATTAATAAAATATGATATATGTATACCATGGAATTCTACTCAGCCACAAAAAACAATGGTGAACTAACACCTCTTGTATTATCCTGGATGGAGCTGGAGCCCATTCTATTAAGTGAAGTATCTCAAGAATGGAAAAACAAACACCACATGTACTCACCATCAAATTGGTATTAACTGATCAACACTTATGTGCACATATAGTTAGTAGCATTCATTGAGTGTTGGGCAGATGGTAGAGGGGATGGGTATATTCACACCTAATGGGTGTAGTGCGCACCATCTGGGGCATGGACACAGTTGAAGCTCTGGCTTGAGTGGGACAAAGGTGATATAGGTAACCTAAACATTTGTACCCCTGTAATATGCTGACATTGTAAAAAAAAGACTTTAAAATTTATATGAAATGGTTTTAAACATAAATATTTTAGAGCAGGATATGTCGCAAGCAGCCAATTCTTTAAAATCTCCTATGTGAGGAACACAGCTAGGAAAGGAAGTTGATGATGCATGAACTTGTGTTAAAATGTTGAAAAGTAATAAAGTTACCAACAGCCTGCTTAAAAAAAAAAAATTTATATGAAATGTATGAGAATTAGAATAGTCAAAGCAATTAAA